GTACAATTATAATTTGATAACTCGATTTTCAATAACTGACGCATTCTGCTAATTTATATTATCACCGTTCTCACACCAACAACGCTTTTCAGAGCAACGTAAAAATATCGCATATATATATATATATATATATATATATATATATGTTTTTTTCAAGTGTATTCATAGCGGAACTGACAGATATTACTAAATCGCATACATCCGTCAGTTATTTCTTTCCACCGATATGGTGCACTACGATTACATTACATTTGATTGCAAATAATAATAAGTCTGCCGTGTCTAATTTATATATATATATATATATATATTTAATGTATGCAAGATATGTACAGACTATATAGTTTCGACGAAGCAACGTGATCATCGTTAATCTACCTTGTTGTGGCCATACGCAGATTTGCCGCGCGTGACATGAAGGATGCGTAATTTTGCATCTGAATAGAGAAAAAACCAGACACGTTGCCAATGTCGGTTGGTGTCGATTTTTTGCCGTTCCAAGCAACATACGGCTGACCTTGCGTAACCGTTTTTTCTTTATATAGCACTTGATAACCATGGCACCTCTTCGTACCCGAAACCACGGAACTGCGGAAGATGGCTTCCACAATCAAACAGCTTGAATAAAATTCTACCGAACTATTATGATAAGTTATTTACTATTCGCATATAATTTTTAGAGAGCCGTATTTTCCCTTGCAAGCAGGGTTTAAATTGGCTTCGGTACTAGCGTTATGGACTTTTTGCTTTGGCCGTATAGGTTATTCCCTTTTTAGACGTAAATCTCGCTCGTAAGTATGATAGATTATGGCTTTCACTCGATATGCAATGGCACACATGATACGGAGTGGCAATAAAAACTGTGAATCGATCAAGGGTCAGAAAAATTCCAAAGGACATTAGGCAATGATTATGTTATGCTGTTAAATCGGTCAGTTAAGTTAAACCAACTTAAAATCCGACAGGCATACGCTTCTAGACGGCAACCCTATGGACGTACCAAAGCCAATGAAATAGGCTGCTCACTTTAAGACGGGTGCACAGTATTTGTTTGCATGTACATGCGAAACAAAGGAAAATGTCATTTTATTAAATGTTGTCAATCCAATCTAAACTTTTGGGCATTTGGCCTTCAGGGAAAGCAAAAGAATAAGCCAGAAATGTCTAGGACGATGCTTGAAAAGTAGGCTGACAGTGATTCGTGAAAAAGCGTTTACTGTTATGATAAAAAGCATCCTTGAAACAACAGATGGTGAATGCAATTTTCTAAAGAAACAAGCTCACAACATATCGACATTGATAATTAAATACAGGGTAATTGAGGAGCCGTGCAATCCTATGGCCTTTAAAAATATTATACCATTTACCATAGGAGTACCCGTAAGGCTGCGTTTGTTTCTAAACAGTTTACATGGTATCTCTTTTATCGAGTTGCAAGAACCTATTGAAACGTAAAGACTTAACTTTTCGAACATCCTGTAAGAGTATTGAGACCGATTTGCATGTATAGAAGGCAAGCTAGAATATTATAAAGATCGACACGTAAAAAATCTAGTCTCTTCTTCAGGGACATACGCGGTTTTCCACCCTGAATTTGCCAAACTATTAGCAACCAAAAAGTCGAACAGAATTTATTTAAGTCTTAGAAGTTAAAAAGATTTATCGAATTTCGTAGAGGATATTTACCTTCAGTCAGTCTACGTCGACTCTTCATAAGCTTAATTTCTGCTCTTAACACTTTGCTAAGTGCCGTCAGATTTATCACACATCTTTTAAGTATCGACACTCAAAATCGATGCCATTCGTTAATATTTATCTGTCAGCGTTTCTGTATCTACTAACACACACGTGCTTATATATACACACACACACACACACACACACGCACCCATACGCGCAGACACACGCTCAGACCCACATGCACACACACACACCTAGAACACGTGAATATATGCAACACGCGTTAAATACGCCATAGCAAATATGGCTGTTCGAAACGAAGGAAGAAACCGCATATATCGTAATTTTTTTCTCTCTGATAATCATGCATGTAACAAAGCGTGCCATAGTACATGCTCTCGAGTTTGTAGTTGTCTAACAAAAAGCCATTTTTCTTTCAATAATGGCACTATTTCCTGCAAGAGATTCAAGCATGAAAATGTGCAACAATCAAATTGCGTTAATTCCCAAGCTTAGTAATTTGCGCAAGTTGCAAAAAAATCTTCCGAAATACCTAAACCTATCGTTATTAGGCCGAATGACACCTGGGCTAAGTGTGACGCGAGAAAAATAAAAACATACCCGAAAGTAATGCAGTAAAAACAGAAACATTGCTTAAATTGGCTAGATATATCGACTACTTCTAGATAATGCATCACTTTGTTAACAAAGGGGAGATGATGTTGGTGAGGATCAATCTTTTTGATCCACTCTGATGAGCAGAGTCGCGCCAGATGACCCGCGTGATTGTTGCATGTTACGTTTCTTTCGCTGGCGCTGATATAATCGTTTGACTTGGAAGAAATAGAAGATTGGTCCGTTATTTAAACGACTTAAGATCCCGATGTGTTTTGCGCTGATGTACGTCAAGGAAGAGCTTCTTATCGGTGGTGAAGTCACAGAATTCACAGCGAAGCATTTTCGGCGGCCAGTGCGGCCGACGGATCGCCCCTCGAGGCTGTTTTCTTTTGTCGCTACTACTTACACTTGCGGCGCTGCTACTAGACTGCGCCATTAGCTGTATGGGATGAAATGGAAAAAAGTAACAAAACAAACAGCGTGTAATCTATACGTTCCTATTGTAACTGTTCGTAATCCCGTCATAACTATTGTGTATGTGAACGGGCAGTTTGCCATGAGAGAACTTTAAAGTAATAAAAACCCACAATAATTAACAATCATTAATTACGACAACATGCATAATACTTGTACTCATTGTCGCTATCATCATATGATAATACGGAACCACCATATATAGATCGTTTACCTGGGAGATTATGTGTAGGCCATGGCGAATCACTGAAGCTGGAACGTTCACAGAAACACACATATTTGCATATTACTTTTAAGTGCTATATACTTTTGCAAGCACATTAATTGATCTCATGTCCTTTTGTCGTTCTAGATAAAAAGGAAAGTTCTCAGCTACAAAAGCTACGCAAAAAGTTTGTCATTGTGGTAACGGGATAAACGCTTTGGGAGTATGGCAGGCAAGCCGAGAAAGAATACACTCGTAAAAACTGTTCAATAACGAAACCGGCAGCAGCTGTACTGCGTATTTTATTAGGCTACACTTCCGTGCCAATAAAGGTACGTCGCATAGTTCAGCCGATCGCTTTCAAATTCTAGTACTGATGATTTGGCAGTATAAGGTAGTGTCTTGATAGAACGGCGTTCGTCAATGGTACGCAGCCAGCATCTGTAACTGAAGTAGGCAACGTTATTCATGCATCGTACAATCCGATATGTATATAATTATTCTATTTTATCCAAACAAATGTTGGTTCTTTCTTTTCACCAATAAGGTCACCAGGAATATCTCGAAATAAGTCTAAGTAACTAGACATTGTCATCATTATTATATTCCAGCAAATAGGCGTAACGAAAGCTATAATTGATTGATCTATTAGTTATTCGAATCGATTACCGGGATGTTTTGTGAAGCAAATGTCAGTTTATTCTAGTGTTAACATGGATGTGGTCATATAAAAACGGTCTGAGCCATACATATGTTGGCTTTTGTCTGCACTGTGCATCACGCGTAAAAATCTCCATCTTTAAAAGCTTAACCTAACTCGCGACTAACGTGAAGAAATAATCGCGTTTAGATTTATAATTGTCATTTAAGCGATGGAATAATAAAGCAAATCAGCTTGATAATATTCATAACAATATTGATTAATTATTGTCAGATTAAATTTTCTTGTGTACAGATACACAAACGTTTAATTATTAATAAAATAATATAATCTTAATATAAAATAATAATAATAGTAATAACATGAGAAATTTTTGCGGAAAACATATGCAAGGGCGATGATAAAACGAATAACGAGTTCAGAAAAATGTTTAGCTTGAACTAGGTGAGTAACTGCTATCGGCTTTCTCTGAGTTCATTAATTAACGTGTCTGCAAATCGTATGAAGACTACACGGTAAAGTTAGTATAGCAAAGTTAGCCAGTACTTACCTTTTAAGTACGAGTAAAAGGTTTTTTGTCTTTGTATTCGTACATGTTGAAAATGAATTCTCCGTGGGCATCATATGTTGATTTTTGTATGAGATTTGCCGATGTACTGGACGAACTTATGATTGCACCGTTTTAAGTAAATTGTTAATGATAATAAATAGAGAGAAATAGCTTCTTCGATTTTGAAGTAATTTCTTAGGTAGTCCCCATACTAAAATGTTCCGTCGTTTATGCATTCTTATAATTTTATATATATATATATATATAAAATGCAAAATTGTAGATAGTTCATCTAACAACAGATAAGCCCGTCTATGTTATTCATTTACATATAATTTTATGTTATACTCCGGGGAAGTTCGGCATCGTCCCTTAAAACGCCTGCTAGTACCATTTATGTAACTTAACCAGAAACGCAGCGGTAGCTTCATCAAAACTAGTGCTCGCTGACTAAAAGAACTTCTAGTGTAAGATATGGTTGGCGAAACGTTAAGAAGTTCCACTTAGATAAAGGCTGAATTAACGTATCTAGTCTACTTACGTTTGTCGGGTATCTACAGGGCTATTGTAATTGACTCTATAGTCGCTTGCATTGCGCACACCTCGTGTTAGACGTGTTTAACAGAAGCGGGAAGACCTCCTTTAAACATTCTAAATATGCATTGACGTTTAGTTAAACCTGTCCTGCATGACATCAATACCAAAATCAGTAGCAATCAAATGGTCTCTGTGGAGGAAACACTCACAAACGCTAAAATCCATTGGACAGTACATGGCCCCACATGTAGAAAGAAACACAAGCTCAATGAATAAAGCCATTAGATGACTGCGCTATCGACATTCGAGAACAAGTGACTACCCAGATTTCGAACAACCGTTAGTAAGCACGGTGTATCCTCGAGGTAAGTCCTTCACAAATAACCTGGTACAGTCCGTTGAAACTCTGGCTATAACCGGGAACGGTAAAACATATCAATACTATAAAAAAAAACTTCCTCACACCACAATTAACTTCTGTACTGCACAGTGTTGCACTGCTATTTTGATATCCAAACATGTACCTATCTATATGTACACTAAAGGCATATATATATATATATATATATATACATATATATATATATATATATATATATATGTATATGACTTCACACACACACCACCTTATTTTTTCTCTCTCTCTTTCTCTTTTGCTTGTATACGACAGCGACAGCCAATGCGATAGTGTTTTCCCTCATGGACGGAGACTATGCGCCGCTTCTCTACGTTGGAATATATCCGACAGTAGCGGAAGGGTAAACAAATACTAAAGTCGGATAGTACGGTGGCAGCCGAAGCGGCCCTCGCAGTGGATATGACACGAGTATTACTGTGTGTACGCAAACAGAGCAGTAACTACGATTCGCGTTCAGCTTAGACGACATCTCTGTGATTCGTTGCATCGTGAAATACGACTATACAGTGTGCGGGTTAAATATGGAACGTAATAGCAACGGTACCATTGAGGAGCGGCGATTAAAAATAAGAAAGGAAAACGATACAATATTATTTTACACTAATAGTGCCTTTTAACCCTCGACCTTACTTCCTTTCGATGCAGACAATTGCACCTAGGCTACTTCGAGGTGCAGGTCCCCCGAGCGAAGGCAAAACGCTTTTTTCGGATAAACGCATTGTGGTATTCGATAGCTAGCAAAAGGGCGGTGCGACATGCAGGAACGAACGAAGCAAGTATCAAATTCTACTGAAAAGCAGAGAATAAAATGTAACGTTTTACAAATATACGATTTAATTAATGTCAGTGACGTCAGCTTACTGGCGGCAGTATTCAAAATCGCGAAGAAACAACTAATGCTACCTACGTGCTTGTGCTCGTGAAAGATGTCGGTCGAAAGCTGAAGTTGATCGACTACGCTGTATTATTGTCGACTGCAGCTAAAACAACGTCGCTACGATAAAATTATATATGAAGCTCATCATAGGGCAGCTCCCAAGATGGTTGTATTTGCACGTTGAACGAGAAAATTCCCTGGGATAGGGCGTCTTATTTTTTATGTACTGAATGTAATCCGGTACACTGATCACTGTCTTTTAGAAATAACCATTCAGTTGCTACCGGACATGAAGACTCTCGAACTATCTGAAAGGGAGCACAATGTTAATAAATTGGATGCTTAAACAAACCGTTTGACATAGTGTAGCCTGAACATTTCGAGTTTTACGCTGGCATTTAGTTATTAGGCCAAGTGTAACCAATACAAGGCCTAATAGGCACATATATATAAGGTAGCTGCTCCAGGCTATTCTCTAAATGTTATATAATTAAATCTCATGAGAAAAAATGCAAAAGTTTATTACGATTACAAACGTATCAGTTCTATTCATTCCATGACGCATGTTAATTTTTTTTCGGAACTTTATAAAAACTTCTTACATCCTTTAAATAATGCGACACTCAAAGACTTAACAACAGACCCTGAAATATATATTTTTATATGCTATTGAGCTTAGTTTAACAGCATATCTATTATATAATGTATTACCCATCAGCAGCGAAAATTTTAATGAAATTGACACCTTAGCGTTGGAAGTTTCCTAATTTCCTTTAAAAACGAAAAAAGGTTCCGTGAAAATATGTATCACCGTAGGATAATACGGACTTCATAATGGGATCTGCTATAAATAACGTCTTTCCGAAAACAGAACCACAAAAAAAAACTCGATACCTTCAACAGCAGTTTGTAGGAATTTGTCCCGCAAGTATCAATTGTATGTATGAAGTTCGTGAGCAAACCCTTTCACTTGCTTCCAAAAATGATCTAGAATTAGCGCTGTAAGGCAGTTTTCCTGTATTAGGGATGGTTTTTCTCTTTTGTCAACCCTTTCGCATCCTAAAACCTACCGTCCACACCAAACTTCACTTGCATGGAGAGGCCAATAACATTTTGATTTCGCTAATTATTTCTTATAAATTGCAAAGAAACACTACGATTGTATGAGGGTGGAAGGATTTAGTTCGAAAGTCGATCAGCACCAAGCTACACAGCTTGAAACCTAATTTCTGTAATATCTCAAAAACGATGAATCCTTTTAAATTATTATTAAGCAGATCAAATATATTTGTTCGTTATATATATATATATATATAGTAATTTTTACAGGTGTTTCTTAAACGTCTATCTATGTCCTTATTGAGTTTTTTTTTTAAACGTAACGTCTCTGCAGAACCTGGTAGAAAGCTAGGCAAAGGCAAGTGTGCTTTCAGCATCACGTGTAAAAGAATTTATCGAACAATTGAAAATCTATTGATGCTTTTAAATGTTCCACGAAAAAAAATTGCTAGAGTGCTCGATATGTACACAGCCCCCGAGTTTCACATCCGATATTGCCCTAGTTAGGCATCAATTGAAAATTGCTGATCCTTCCAAGTACGGAACGATATACAACCAGTCGCTAGTAGAAAAATTACACAGTAGATTGCTATGGTATACTTTTATTTTTGACAAGCTTCTTAACTTAAACTTTAACTGTATTAATTTCTTGGCTCGTGTTTTAAAGCATTCAGCTCTGCATGCCGTAGCCATTGGGCAGACTTGAAGAGTATGCCATGGAATTGCATTTTGTAATAAATAAATACTACACATTGAATACAATGTTCCTTTTAGTAAAAACAATATTCCTGCGCGTAGCTGTTGACACTCAACGGGTCATCCTGCACGAGTTAGAAGTTAATCAATGAATTTGTAGAGGTTTATTGGACTCTTTCAGTCCGTAATAATTTACTTATTTTTGCATGTACAACCTACTACTATTGCATATGGCGCAAGGTACTGTGTTATATGCTGAAATAGAAAATGGTACGCCAGATATATTGCTTGTCGTTGAGCACATATCTTGGTGGTGACGGTAGCCTAATGATGATGCGGCAATGCAGTAAGGCAAGTATCGGAAAATGTGCCGTTTCCCTTCACCATCACAGCGATATTACGTTGCTGTTAAATCCTGGGCCACTTGTCTCTTTCCTTTATCGGCTGTCTGCTTTACTCAACACCTAGTTGAGCGTCCTTTGGCCTTTTGTTGGCTTGGCTTGATTTTGGATTTTTCTTATCTCAAGTTAATTAGTTGGGTAATTTTCTACGACCCTTTCGCGCGCATCCGCCCTTTCGCCCGGAGTTGCGCTCTGGCCTGAACTCCCACTGCCCAGCAAAGGGCTCTCCGTACCGAGTGTGGTGCGCTCTGCTCAGTGACATAGGCGCACGGAGGAGATTCGCAATAGTTGCCGCAACAGTAATACGACGGTTGCGGATCATTGGCATTGACACGGTATCCGCCAAGAGAAGTCTGCAAGTGGAAACAGCTCGAAGCGACGGCGGACAGTAGGTGCGATACAGGCCAGCGGTAGCGCCAGCGCTGCGTTCGACAGGCCCTTTTATGCCCGAAGACTTTCGGTTTTCGGCACTACGATCAACGCTAACCAATAACAGCGTTCGTACCGTTGAGGGAACCGTTGGCGGGCCAGCGTTAGCAATCGTGTACGGCAGTGAGTCGGTGCAGGCCCCATACAGATTCAGGTGGCAGCAAGCTTAGGTCCTGCAAGACGGCTTGCATCCTAAGAGAGCACACCGCAAAACAGAAACAAGTAGCGAGCTAAGCAAGCCGAAATAAGTGCTGCTAAGAGCGGAACTGAGACCCTACCAGCGCTGGGTTAGCAGTCGTGACTGCTCGGAAGTACCCTGCAGTCATCATCAGCAGCGGTAGTTCTCATTTTTGCGGCGGTGCAGAAACCACAGTTGCCTACAGCCTGCCCGTTAGTCATCAGCATCTGTGTCGGTTTCGAGGGCGAGTAATATAAGGACGCAAGATATAGAAAACGCAGGAGAAACGAACTCTCAAACCGATAGGTCGGCGACGACCGGACCGAGCTGCAAGACACTCAGTTAGTTAGCAAATGCTGTTGCCTCGCTAGCTACACTTGCAGGTAAGCACAGTGTCCTGACAGAGTTGGTCGAGCGCGTGCCGTACACCTCGCGAGCCGTGATTGGTTGTTACCTAATAGCAGCGACGACCCATTGGTTTGTCCACCGACGATCGAGTTGTTGACAAGCCTTTTTAGAGCCGCATTGAATAGAAATATCTTGCTTGACGAATCGAGCATAGCATGTGTGCCGCAATTGGATTTGAGCGGGCGTCTTCAAGCGAACCGAACTCGTTCAGTTAGAACGAAAACACGATTACGCCCGCCACGGAAGGGCTGGCAAAGATACACAGCCGAAGGACTAGCAATAGAATAACGCAACACATTGTACGCAAGTTGATTGCCTAAATACAATTATTGAGGCGCAACTACAATCGCAGGACGAAGTGGCCATCGAGCTAAGCGGTAGAAGTAGCACGAACAAGGCTCTAGGAGCAAGCCCACGAAGGGCTTTCGTTTGTCTGAAGCCGTTTTAGGGAGACAATGTGATCAGCCCTGACGGCGGATGCTTGTTAAATATCGTCGCTCCACAAGCAACAGCATAATTTGGGAATTAAGGAGCCTTAGCTACATGGTGTATTCCGTGCATGTGCGTGCTGTGCGATATCTCCGCATCGAGTGAGCGATAGAAAGAGCTGCGAGCTTTAGCTGCGTCTACCGATTGCGCCGTATAGAGTTACTTGCGGTCGACAGTTTCGGTGGATCGTTGTGAGTCTGAGTGTCGGTGTTGGGAATCGTCGGCGTGAAGGAATATCGCTTCTTGTTTGTAGAAATTACGAGTTTCGATAAATTTCACCGTTAGTGCGCTTCGTGCTCGACTTACTTGATTGACGCTAGTAACTCGCAATTAGTGCAACGTGAAACTGTAGCGTAGTAACTGTGCCTAACCTGCGGTGTAAAGCGCGCGTAATGAGGGGCGATTATTAATTATAAGGTGGCGGTGATTAGTACAGAGGGGTGCAGAAGAGCATATACGCGAAGCCCCGGACGGCCGCGGTCCTCATCGGGCTGTCATGGAGTACGGCTGTGGAGTACGAAACCGATATGAGTTGTTTGCGGATGAAGATGGTGGTGATCCTCTTGAGTTAATCCAACGCGAAGAGGAGCGTCGAAGATTGTCGCAGCTCGAGAGAAGCAAAAACAAGGTAAGCACTGGTTCCTGATTAAGAAGAGTCGATGAAGTAATTTTGCGATATGAACACTAACTAACGAAATAATAGATAACGGTAGCGGTAGACGAAATATTTGAGGAAAACGAAACCGCGGTGAGGTCGTGTTGTCACCGTTACTTTTATATGAGTGAACAAATATATCTTTTAATTGACTAAAAATATTGTCTTCTATGAAAAAGACTCCCACCTCTTTTCTGAAAGCTCAGCTAAAAACCCTGATGAATTTCAGCGAAAATTTAAATGTTTCGAAAATGGCTGTAAGTCATTACACATTATAAGGTACCGCAAGTTACGTTTGTAGTTGTAATAACATTTCTTCGTTATTCCCTTCTTCATCAGTATTGTAAGCGGTCGACAAAGCAACGGTTCTGTGTACCGAACACGGTACATGCTTCGTACAATATATGAGCTACAGTATAGGTTTAAAATGGTTCAAGGAGATCTCTGAATGGGTTAACTACAGAAAGAGAGTAAGCCATATCGTGGTTGCCCGGCAACGTGCACTCGATATAGTGGGGAGCTCTCCCTATAAGGAGTGCATAACAGACAACAACTAAATACCACGTCGAACAGATTTTACTAACGAAAACTGTGTTCGGGATAAGCGTTAATGACAATTGGCAACCTTGAAAGTAGTGAAATTTAGGACTACGCCATTCAAAACGTAATGTTATCTCATAGAACACCGTTTAAAATGTTGCCGACCTTTAGAATTGTAATAGCAACTTTTCATAGTGTAACAAAGTTTTTTTTAAGGATACTTGTTTAAGGATCTTGTCATTTGAAATTGGCATTCAATCGTACGATGATAGCGCTGCATTTTTTTATTTGTTATATACACAATAAGGTTTAGAAATGTCTGTCGCACGCGTTACGCTGTTGTAAGCGCGGCTGAACAGCCCGCACTTATCCTCTACGCAAGTAGAACTATAAAAGGCGGGATAACAGGGAATGTCAACCGGTTACCCCCCAGCAATGCGAACAGCGCTTTCTATAAAACATTGTTACCTTACAAAGAGAACTATTACAGCCACTTTCCCTATTAGCCTGCCTCAATTTACCTCGTTTTTAGTTAAATCAATTGTTAAATGTCATTGTAAATAAATTGTAGATAAAGTTAGATGAAAATGGTATTGAGTTGTTGATGCAGATGTTTGTGCAAGATCTGACCTTCAATTATTCAAGTGATATAGAAACGATATATTGATTTAACTATAAAGAATCTATCATAGCATTATTATTATGCAGCTTCAGTTATGGGTGGGAAGCGTGATTACGTCCCTTTTTGATTTAATTGCTCGTATTGAAAGGCCTAACACTATTATGATATGCAATGAAATCGTGATTTTATTTTGGTTCGTATATTGGCATAATTTTTGTCAAGTCTCTGTTTCTGTATCCGCGTTTGTTTAGTAATTACTTTTTTTTTTATTCTTATTTATAGTTAAGTAGATTTTTATTCATTTACGTTAGTTAAGCAGTATCTTGGGATCCTGTAAACTATCATCGTGGCTTCATTCTACAGGTCAAGCTCGCTAATGAAAATGATGCCGACGATATATATGTACTAGCAGGGTACGACAAGGATGAATTACTATTTCGGCTCACTTCCTCGCTTAAATCTCGATCTAGGTCACCTAATTGTAATATATATATATATATATATATATAAGTTGGCCGATAGTTTGCTCCATCAAAAAACGTTACTGAGACATCAAGTGAAGGCGGATTCTAGCTGGGCTGTAGGATGCAATGAAAAGGCCTCTGAATTCGCTTTTAAAAACCTTTTTTTTTTTTAAATGCCTCTAGTATACATACATCTTCGAGGTTTCCAATAGCATTGTCGTTTATACCACGTAGGGATTACGCAGGAGAAGTTGGTTCCTTGTCACTGCTGTATCATTAAGACGAGATCCTGGACAGTCTTTTATGCGCTGTTCTGACCTGGACCAAAAAACAGTACTGCTCGATTTTGTCGGTTGTCAGCATCTATACCATGCAATGGCTGTGCACCCAAAGCGCACCCGAAAACTAACTACTAAGTACTACCATTTCATAAAATGGTAGTAACGAACCTATATTTCGAAACTTAAAGAAACATCGAGCATGGCCGAAACGAACTAAATAAAAAGTTCGAGTAAATAGGCGGTTAATAACAAAACGTAGCATGTCAGCACCATAACGAAACTTTTTTCGTATCTAATTTAAGTTTAAAAATATTCAACTTTGCTTAGGTCTCACAAGAATAGTTTGGGACAGCAGCTCGCCAATCGAAGCAGCTGTGCGTAGCAGATGCTACCATAACAGAATGTTGCTTTGTTCTCGAAACTACAGTAAATTAGAAGTGCCAGTTATTCAGGTGATGCCTAATTTAAACGTAACGCTTGACTAGCATCAGACAGAACTTAAATTCTAGGGAATCTACGTAAATTCATACTGGAACTTACATAGCTACATAGTTAACTGGCTTTTTTTAGCAGAAAAAACATTCCTGATACCAGAAATTAACGACTTTTCTCAATTTCTACCACGATTTTTTCTCCAATTATCTTTATAGTAAATAAACAACAGTTGTAGCTAATTAATAAACTCAATGTTTGTAGGCATCCCTGTGTTGGTATTCACCTAATAATTTTCGTACTTTTTTATTTTATTTTCTCGACTATGGACTGTCTAGAATGAAACTAACATAAAAACACCTTCCCTTAGACTTTTGCCATATATACTATACGTATTAGTGAGGCTTTATACAGTAATAGTCGCCAGAGTGAGAAGGAAGCAGTGAGTAAAAAAGCTGAAATTTCTCAATCGCTTTCAGGCTGCTGAAGGAGCCAAACAGGCCACTAGTGTGTCAAAAGCGCCACTCACAAACCATAATAGAATAAATGCCAAGGAAAACTCAAACAAGGTTTGTCGCAGGTTTGGCATAGGTTCTCATTAGATAGAAACTACGAATCCTGTCCCCCAGTACTATATCTAGTTATTTTCTCATTGCCACTAACAGAATAATAAGCCAGATTAGTGCTGGCAAACTGTGACTTCAATCACTGGTTTTCAATAAGCACCCTCGGTAGACTGTCGTATATTTCTATTAATTCAAATTTGAATTGCTTAATTATAGCTTAACGTAAAAGCGTACTTGACAACTCAGATTTTTTTTCACAGTCAAACCAGCAGACCGAAGCCCAGAGACCTCGGGATCATCGAACTCAGCAAGATAGCAATCGAAAACCACGTGACAGCAATGATGGAAACCGAAATTACTCGGGAGATGACCGGCGTCAGAGAAAGTAAGCCGGTAACAATTGTATTATTATGATTGTTATTATTATATTGCACACATTAATTCCTATGTTGGGATTTCAGAATAAGTCAAGACGGTAACCAGGATAGCAAACGAGTAGGCGGAAGGGATGACAAAGGTATGTACATATTTGCGACATTTACGTTTGCCCTGCCTACAAACAGTACGTAGTAATACTATTTTAGGTCTAATACACATCCGAGCTGCTTACCATCGTTCTCTGGAAGATCAAGTACTGAAGTTGTTTTCCAGATCGCTACCACCACACCAGAGCAAAATTTTGTTTGTTTAGAATCATATAATCTGTTCTAACATAAAACTGGCTGTCCTCTATGTATCATGCGCATACATTTGTTCTCTCTTATCATAATTATTTCTTTATAATTAATTACAATCAGACGCATGTTTCTTTCTTGCGCGAGGTAAAAAAGATCAACAGGAAACAGTACTTTAGAAGTGAATCAACAAAAGAAGTTCGACATCAATTACGTTTACACAATGGCCTATTTTTCCTTTACAGGACTCCGGCCATCGCGAGGGCCCCGGAAAGAACCTAGCGACAGGGATCCAAAGGTGAGCTGAAGCCGATAAAACAGCTTTATTGTCATAAGGACTGTCTGCTGGATCGTTTCCCGTACACACTAGACACTTCTCAGTTGGACTTAAGCGCTTGCACGATTCGTATACCCACTTGCATTTCCGTATCTGCTGTTGCACGCACAGGACACAAAAGACCGACCGCCACGGACGGACCGCGACCGGAATCATCAGAATTCGCAGACGACGACAGGCGCCGGTGCAATGGCTGCCAATAACAAAACCGAATTGGGAAATCAAGCTAGCCAGGGGAACAACTTTGCCTCGAACCCAAAGGCGACGGGTGAAAATCAGACATCTGCCGACGGAGCCACCCCCATAGACCAAGATCAGATCGTAACTATTTACAGACTTTCTTAGACATTGAGAACGTATCGAAATTTGCGCTTGGTGCAAAATTTCAACTTTAGAGTCCATCATATATTGTGTGCCTAGTGGTACATTTAAAAAAAAACCTACTAACTAAAAGAAACAGTTCTATTCTCCAAGACTAAAACGTTACAGAGAACGTCTACAAAAGCAAAGTATTAGAGCTTGTGATTATGTTACTTATTCAACAGAACAAGTCCAGCCTCATAGTGTATACTGCATAGTGATTCAATTAGTTATCGAATCAGAAACAGAACAATTTTATTTATTCACTAGTAAATAACTGTAATGTAACGAAATGTATGTAGCTTATAAGTCTGATGACAACACGAAACGTTCGGGGGGCATTTCAGGACAGAGCTGCTACTGACACCAAAGAGGAGGAAACACCCGCCGAAGGTAAAAATGTTTGGCATCGTGCAGATGATGAGTGGACTGTCAGTTTTTACATCTACAAATACCAATGTAGAATTATCGACCGTCTGCAATCTAACAGTCTCTTCACTGAAAAACATACCTTTCGTAAATGCGTTTTATTAAAACATGACGTCACCTGAAGAAGGTCGCTATTATTAGTGTAAAGAGTTATGTTATGATAAGCTTATCAACGAATATACTTTGTTACCTCAAGTAGCATTTAGCATAAACATTAAAGTAACATTAAGGTAACAAATAATACCTTGTTACTGAACTTACAAGATATGTTTTCCGGTGCCTCTGTCTCAGGTGAGGTCGAACCCGAAACTCCCGAAAAGACCCTGGACCAATGGAAGAAAGAGCTTGAAGCACGTAAATCTAAGGTATATCGATCGGTTAGATCAGCTAAGGGGTATATATTTTTCTGTTTGTACTCAATGCTAGCTGATGATGGCGGTGATGTGGACTCAGGACAACAGACGACTTGAAGGTGCAAACGCTTTCGTTCAACGGAGACTATTACACTAACACATGGTTTATGTCCCTATTCGATTAACTTTTTCATACTGAAAATTGCGGCAGACGACATACAACGCGGCGATACGGAAACCGAACGAGGGTGAAAGCTCCGATCCGAAAGTAAGCAACCCGTCTTCGTATGCATTATATTATAAATAGCCTAGGCTTTGAGTACGTATCTGCCATACGGATGATAATTTACAGAAAAGTGTAGGTTAAATTATACGGACTAGCATTTTGCAGTGATAGTCTGTAGGCAATATTCCACGATGTACCTATATTTCCGAATATTTCTTTCAGTGGGCCAAGATGAAGATGATAAAGAAAAAGAAGGACTCAGATTCACCCGCTCCAATCATTAGCCATAAGGAACATCATCCGGTGACCGAGGACATGCTAGACGAAGAGGACCGCAAATTGAAACGACTTGAAGTAATTTATTACACACAAATGCTTCAATTCAATCGTCTTTCTTAGAAAACGCGTATTAGAATATAGTACAAATATTGAAGATAACAGGGCAGCCAGGAAAATCAGATTAGATTAACAGGAAGAACTTAGGGTTTATCTTCACAATGCCACCGATCGTTCAATATCATTCTTTCGGCCTCTGTATTACGGTTCCACAATATTACTTACGTTTTTGTCATATCTAGCCCATTAAAATTTGCGTTGTCCTTTGGCGATTCTAAGTAGCTTAAGCATGTTTTCGTTATCATTATCGGAACTCTGCTACATATGTATTGTCTCATTTGGTTAACCTATCTTGACTTCAGGAGACGGTATCGAAACAGTTTCACTACTTGGACTCACGTGGAAATACTGGGTCTACTGCGGGCGGGCGTTCGAATCGCGGGGGCCGTGGTGGATCGTTCGGGGGCCGCGGTGGGGGCCGAGGTGGGCGTACTGGGCCTGGTGACCGATCGGCGGGCGGTGGAGATTCCCGTGGAAGCCGAGGACATGCCCACAACGGCCATAATGCACAGCAGCCCCAGAGCAGGCCCACTCCCCGCGTAAGTGATGTCCTATTCTCGCAAATGGGACGCTCGACGTACTACTACATAACTCGTACAATTTAAGTCATTAGATCACAAACACACGCACGCACATACTCTTTCATATACAAAAACGCATTTACATACGCATTGATAAGTAAATAGCGTATGTGATGGCACGAATGTGTCTGATGTATACATTTAATATAAATATATATCGTTGAAGTAAAAGGGGATTACATCTATGTTACGGAAACCTCTTCAATAGTTTATTGTTGTGGCATTGCTAAGCGCAATATCTTATAGTTTAAATAATGCGCTGTATAATTTTGTGAATAGTAATCAACAATTGATTATTGCAACAACAAAATGGAGCGATAGTTTTACATTTATCTTCCATATATATACATGTACATATTTGCAGTTTGCAAATGCATGCGTATATAGGGAATTACCTCTATGTTCGTCTACTTGTTTATGTGAAGCCATGTATTGCTCTTGAAAATGAAGTCCGCGTTCATATTGGCGATGCATCGATCTGGACACGGTCAGGCGTCATAAATATTTTTGTTCTTTTTCGCCTGTGTCATCTCGATTTCAGGTCGAGGATCTAAATGACTTCCCATCACTCGCTGCATAAAGTGAGGTCAGCGTTTGGGTAGACTGCAGCGGCAACCTTCAGTGCGCAATGGCACAGCTCGAATAGGGGCTTTACGTTATCTTTTTCAAGCGGCCCAAGACGCCTAAGGGCAAACTTGCAAGTGAAATCGGAGTTCCAGCCAATTTTTCACCAAAGCGAGGCCGTTCTAGGTAGACAGGAGATTAACAAACAAAACGTCGATATCGGCGCAATAAATGTTCGTTGAGCTAATACAAGAGCAGAACTAAAATGTTATGAAATTATAAGACTGTAGACCAGGCTGACAAACCCAAATTACATAATCATGGCACTATAATTACATCATAGCTAGAAGGCGCTGCGGCTGGGGTTGCAGTTGCGCCTGCTCGAGTCCTGCTGTCGTCCTATTTTAGCCGTACACAGAATAGAAACAACTCTGAGAAACATAATTCGTTGTTCCCTGCTTCTGCATTTCTTTACCACGCATAAAGCGATAGTTACGTCGACGGGAAGATAATTTGCAGAATCATACTGATGATTAGGATCATGATCACATCAAGTACGGTGATGATTTCTTTATATATTTATTATATATAATTATACGAATACAAAACAAAAAAAGAAAAGCACGAAATGATACGAATAAGAGTGCTATCATACTAACGCTAAGGGAACAGTTAAAACATGCTTAAAGAGTGTCACAGGAATCGTAATGACATCGCGAGGCGATTCATAGAGCTCGAAGGGTTCGCGAGCACAGCGATAGGCTTTCGCGCGCTCCCGATGCGCGCTAAACGCTGACGATGATGATGATAGTGATCATTTGTTTCTGCTTAAAGAAAGACGGAGTAGATGCTGTTTTTTGCTTTTTTTAGGGAACAGGAAAATCGGCGAGGCTCGCAAGGAAGATATGGATAGTTAAGACAATAATGAAGAACACACGCATACTTACTTCTACTATTATAATTACTATTACTATTATTACTGTGAAACAACACAAACTGACGTAATACCTCAGCTGTACTCTATAATTACTACTGCTCTTATGATATAGCAACAAAAAATAATAAATAACAAAATAGAAGAAAATTCATCGTGAGCGAGATGCGAGAGAACGGGAAAAAAAAGCGAAACTGACAATTATCTTCATGGCAACGTAGAGGTAGAAGAGGGCAAACAGTGACAGCGCGCAAGTGTATTATTGATTGATCATCACAACTCAACAGACTCCAGCAGATCCCATAGCCAAATCCCATATTCTGTATTGGCCGCCTACCGATGTTTTTAAGCCCCATTTGCATCGGCGAAAATAGACCCTGGGGTTCACTAGTCACCGTTCCACGGTGCTGATTAGCGTTAAAAGAAACGAGCAAAACCAGCGGGAACAGTGATGCGTACTAATTATAGACGGTGAGACAGGAGCGGGCTTTCGCGTAAAATACTTACTAATTTTTTTAAAAAATTGTTTGTTTTCTGGCAAAGCGTCGAAAGCTGAGCTATAACGGGTCAAAGAGTGCCGATGCAAGTGTGATTTTCAGTTCTAATTTATAAGGTCAGAAAAGCTAGATGAGAAAGGCATGCGGAGAGCATGAGCACACAGTCGATTATTAGCAGCTGCGATTATGTAAGAGAATAGACAGAACAATGATAAACAAATAATAGATAATGATACCATAGAAGACAAAGAACAGCTATGAAAGAGGTTGGTGTTATCTGACCCGATGTCACAAATGATGAGATCAGAACGGGGAGAAATGCTTATGAGGACTTTAGGCCTGGATTTCTCGCGGACGTGGTGAAAAACAGCATAGCCAATGGAAGAGTCACTGAAAAAGTAAAAAGAATTACGTATTTTTTTCTTCATCGAGATATAAGGTAAGGACAACAACAGTAATATCAATAATAATAACAATGCAAACAAAAATATTGATAAAAATAGAAACACCGGAAGAAAGGCCGCACGTAGCTGGTGGCGCGAATGCTGGTTGGTCACCCTGTCCAATAATATCAATAATCAACTGTAACTACTTCACGAATGGAAATAAATAGTATATCACCTGCAAACCGCAATAGAGGCGAGTGAAAACGAAAAAAATACATCTTAACAGTCATTCATAAAAAATGAAAGAAAAGAAAGGCACGAAAGAATAGTTAATAATGAAAAATACAGAACAGCAAAAAATAAACACTAATACAGATTCAACAAAGTCATCGTTCTGGTCCGTTTATCTTTGTCTCACGCTTCTGAACGTGTTTAGGTGTTCGAATCATGTACCTTTATTGATTTTTTTCGTATAAAACATAAAAAGAATATTAAGAGAAGAGTAATTGACGAAACTGATGCGAAGACAAATATAGCCATAGCATAAACAAAATGATGACAAAAGACAACGAGGCCTAAAAGCAACAAACAACAACAACCCGTCTTGAGTGGGTGCCGTGTTGAATGAATTGACCTCGCCGCAAGCCGAATGATATGGATGCATCTATATAACCTACCGTATATATACACGTGTATGTCTATGTTAATGTCGATGCAAAAAAAACCAACTATGAAGCTTGCCACATATTGGCCCAGTTGAGCCAATTTGGTATATATCTCAAAATGTGAACGACGGTTGCTTTCGTTCTACTTGGCAGCTTTGACACTCGCAGCAAAAGTTAGATATGACGTATAAGCCTGAATGACCTTTCAAGGCTGTCAAAAGGAAAATATAAAAGATCTAGATTGGAATGGCAGCATGTCAAAAAACCTGTTCTTCCAAAAAAAATTGATCCTGGCATGGCACGTAGCCCACAACGTCATTCAGGGGTTGTTCAAAGGTTTTGAGCAAAGAGGGCCCACTGGACTTCCATCAAATGGTTATATTGTAGGTCAATGCTTTCTAGGATCGGGATATCGAGGTTATACACATTGTAGAAGAAAAACGAGAAAACAGTCAAGCACTCAAAATATTTACTTAAATACTTTAAAATGGACGTAAAAGTATAATTAAAATAAAATCTGTTATTAGGAAAGGTTAGATCTATCGATCAGGTTATCAGGAACTGTAACTATATGATTCAAGAAAATTAGGTACACTGAAAGCAACTTTGCAAATTGAATGAATGTTGACTTAATCTAGATTTTTCCAACTTAACTTTGTTTTGGTACTGCCCGCGGTTTCATCAAGATCTGAATTAACCGACTAGAGAAAGCCTGACTGCACCAGGCGAACCAGCGAACCTTTAGATTTCGGAGTACGTACGTATGGCGAAGAGATGAAAGCGTCCGACGACGAGTTCCTAATACGCAAGATATGGCCTTGAAACGCGCACACGAACTAAAAGGCTAACCCTCTACTTATGGTGCCAACGGTCGCATAAAGTGGCAAGGATTTTCCGGGCTTATCAGTCGTTCGTTCACTTCACACCTATCAATAAACAGCTTAAATCCAAGTATGCTTCCTGGTGTATTGATTCATTTGCCAAGTTGGTCTGCTAACGGTCGTGACACGTTAGTTTACTATTGAACTCGAAGACAGATGGGAAAGTCGAGGTCCAAAACCGGGCCTAGACACAGTTTGTTTTGTGCTGGGAGACAGCTGTCTGAAGCGAACGTTAGCGAAGGCAGTATTCGATTTAAAGATAAGACTCAATCGCATGCGTTGACATATACGAATTGACGAATACGTTGAATAAACATATACGAATAGCTAGCTATACATACTACGTAGCAAATTTACGCCGGTTTAGCATATATTGGTTATGTTATCAATGCTCAGAGACGTCCAACGATATATGTTTTCATGGATGAAAGAAAGAGAAGTTTCTATTAGGTAGTCGCATTAGTATTAACGAAATGTACTAAAATTATTTTTCACGTTATAAAGTTTGACAGCAGAAACTTACTGAGGCCACTGCGGAACAGGTATCCTCTACTAATAGGATGATCTGGGATTTTTTTTTAGCGTGTATGTTGTATATCAGTATGTCTAAATCACCTTGCACAATATTTTATACGTGCAGGCTTGAATGCCCTGCTGAAAGCGTCATACCCAATAGAAATGTGTTTTGTGCTAAAAATATAGAGAACTTCTTTATAGTGTAAACAAGGTAAAAACACATGTAAACAGCGATTGAAAATTTATGAAACATTCCAAATGTAAAAGTTCTATAAGGCAGATGCATAATTCAATATTTGGAGCAAAACCGATATCCGAATACCATATTTCCTGATTTCTTCAGCGGTCCAATAGATATTATACGTATAGGTTTGAAGGTGATAGTTAGCTTTTTAAGATCCTCAGGAGGATAGCCGGTCAACAGCAGCACATAGATGATTAACCTGCGCTGAGGGGCATAAAATAACTGATCGAGGAAAGAAAAGAGCTTGTGACGGGGTCACAGCAGGATTGAAACGTTTTATTAGAACACTGGTCTAACAATAACGAGATAACCGAAGCTAAGTAACGGAATAGCTCAAGTGATTTCATCGATTTGCCGAAACGGGGTATAAGAATCGCACAACCGGATCATGGAACGACCTTTACCGTTCACTAAAATAGGGCAATGCCGGAACGGCATTGAGGAAGGATGACTGAAAAATCTGCATGGGCCTAGGTGTTCGCAGCCAAAGGATCAGTACTAATGCGGTTCGTTACGAAAATCGCATAAACCACTCGACTCCGATGTACACCTTCAATAACGGTAGAACGTATAACCATTATATAGCCAACAAGACTATAGTACAAAAAAAATATATATACAGCCTTTCAGCCGCTTGTGAAGTCTACGTAAAAATGTACCTTTGTCAATTTTAGGACAACTGCAAATTGGCTCATTTGAAATAATGGCGTTCCCCATGGTACTGAAATATATGTCGTCGCATGCTTACTAGCTACGCTTATTTGCTTCACAGTCGCTGTGTAGAGCAGACATAGAAAACAAACAACATTTTTAATTCTAATTTTGCAATTTTTCAGTCAATCAGAAAATAGTTGGGTGTCGACGGTCCGATCTATGACTGACAAATACAACCTTAAAACCGCTATCAGAGAATAACTAGAACATTAAACAGTATCAGGTATTGATTAGACAGACAAGTGTTCCGTTCACACGCTGAATCCGTTAACGGATCGGAGCTGTCAGCGGACAAAGAGAATTCAGGTAGACAGAAAAAAAAACATGTGATACAATTGATACCATATCAGTAAATGTCCGCAGGATTTCGTCTATGAGCTGATGCTGTGAAACTAATAAAGACTAGTAACAATGAACATTAATTCTAAATGCTGTTCGTCAGCCGTATCTATATGTACTGTTATTATTAGTATCTAGTGTTATCGCAAACACCGCTGCCCATCCCACCATGTGTTCGCCCACAAAAGCCTTAACTGTGATATCTTTATAACAAACACTTTGTGTTAAAATTAAATTTATTGTGCAGCCATATAAACACTTGCATCTCAATTATTTAGCTTCTACAAGAATACTCAATGGCCTCACCACACTTAGCCAGACGTCATTGGAATGTTTATGCTGCAGTATTCCGCCCAACCGACATCCACGGAGATCATCAATGCATTAATACTAATAATAAGAGAAATAGATAATAATCAAGGTAATATAGATATTACGGTCTTCACGTATGATGTCTGGATACCACAAGCATTTAAGTTCGTCTCTTTGATAAGCACATTTAGCGTAACTTTTGATTTATTCTCTTTTCATGCCAGTTTTACGTTTCTACTTGAGGTTATGTCTATTCCCTCACATAATGGGTGACTTCTCTAGTTTCTCGAACTGTAATCAGCGGTCAGATAATAGGCTAACCAGCTGCCCATATGGCTGTTCAAGACCGAGCTTGTATTCTAATGAAGCTACTCTCAGCCCAGCATCGAAGGCAGGTGATTTCGTCCGAGTATTCGATAGCATTAAGCGTGCTCATTTTTCAACGTTTGATTCAAATAGCCCGAGGGTAGAAAGCTCAATGTTGAACCGGCCTGTTCGAGCCACGTTTGCACCCTCAGTCAGAGCTGCACTTGCCGAACGATTCCCAATCGAGGGTTCGCTCGCATTATGAGCATGCCCAGTAACGTTCCAACAGGTTCATAGCGTAGTCCTTGAGGTTGTCCTCAATGTCCGGGCGACCGCACAGTCGTCGCACTACAATACGACACTGGCCACGGCGAGGGGTGGAATAGCTAGCGCGTGACAATAACCATTTGTTCTATTTTAATGCCCTGTTCTAAACGTTGGTAACAACTGAACATAAACACGCGATTCTGTCACGCACATCGCGTTCCTTGGAAATGATGTATAAAGGGCAATCATAGTTGACTCTACGCAAATCTTAAGTCAAACTCCTGCACACATTCATTCGCAAACAATATCAGGTAATGTAAAGCTAAATTATGTTACTTTCATGGTTATATAAAAATATTTTCTAGATGAGCCCCCCAAAAAAAGTAGACGTAAGGCTAAGAACAACTGATCGATTGCGATCGAACGATGCACTGAAAAATCAGCTTTGAAATATTTCGCACAAACGTTCGGTCGACGTAAATCTAATCAATAGGGGTTTATAACCCCTCTTATTCTTTTCACACACCAGTTTGTTGCACACTCCAAGCTGTTTGAGGTATAAGTCAAGGTCAAGGGGGCTCGTCTATACCCGTAATAACACCTCTGTTGGACGCATGTTAGCTATACAACGAGTCCTTAGTCATGAAGAAGCAATGCAACAATGCAATGGCGTGAATAACCAGCGCCATTACTTAAGTGCAATCTCGTGTTTGATGTCAGACTTCATCGATAACCAGCCACACCAGTTACCATGTTTGATAACTGGTTTCGCATTAAGGCCGTGAAAATGTTTTGGTATTAACTATTCATACTGTTCTAAGGAAGGCCGTGTTTGCAAGCCAGGCATGTCCTTCCGAGCTAAATGCGGCTTGAGGACTTTGCGAATGGCAACATTGCACTGGTCGGTGTTACGATAAGTGCCGAACGATGTTTAGTATTGACCTTGTAACAACCGGCGATGCTGACACCGAACGGAAGCGACGGCAAATGATACTTTTTGCACCTCATTGAAGCTACATCTGGTTGACAATGGTCATCATCAGCCTGTTGTGTTTTCGTGATTGCTGACAGCTTGAAACATGAACGCTCCGTCATTGAAATACTGTCGTCTGACGCTGCATTTAGAGCTCGCATAGACTTTAAATCTGGTATCAGTATTTAACGATTTCCGTATTCTTTCAGCTATTGTTACTGCACGTAGAATGTGTTTTCGAAATAACCTGTTTGGTATAGCATCAGTGACCTGCTCCCACTAAAGGGTCTACATGAGGTAAGTGATGCTGGTCTAATTTGGGGCTTCTGCAAGAGACCTATGAAACGGCATGATGATCAACTAAATGAGAATGGCCCAATCCTCCGTGAATCTTACGAATTTATTAGATGATTATTTGTGCCCTATAACGCGCTTTCTCGTGAAATTCCGTAAGAAAAACTAACACTTGATCCCATGTAAGCAGTATAAATAAGTACGGCTTCTTGTGCTGTCCACAGCAATGCAATCCGCCAGGCTTTATTCTAGGAAAAGTAATTCATATAGACGAAAACATGCGACTGAAAAGTAGGGCAGACAAAAGAGTGCAGGCACGACAACTGGACTCTCGCAATAACCAATAGAAAACATTTTGGATTAGATAGGTTTTTATTTCACCTTGGCATTCGAAACGGTACCTTACGACAAACGTCTCAAAAGCTGGCCTAAACATTG